TATACAACTCAAAAAGCATGGATGAAACTGTAGATTATGTGTATTAATCCATACATTACAGTACTATTCTCTTCTTCCTGTGTCTTGTTACATATTTATCAGAGTACCTACAATCAATCGCTTGTTGCTCTTACTATTTGAACATCCCTAATGTAAAAATCCAAACTCAGAAACAGACTAGGGATGCTTAACCAGTAAAGTCTACACAAATATTTAGGACTCAAACACGCAAAACAAAACAGAACAAATAATAACTCCCTCCCCACAAAAACCCTCCATATGTTGAAACGCTTCTAATCCCAAGCATTCTAGATAAAGAATACTAAACTTGTATTTGCTTTACTAGTTTCTACTTCACCTTACTTCTTCAAACAGGACATCAATACATATTAAATACTTGGCAAACGAGTAAAGAATGGATAACTCACATAGAACCAGGAAAGCTACTTTTTTTTTTTTTTTTGGTCATTTGTGGGGGCTGACTTCTGGGCCTGGGCACTGTCCCTCAGCTCTTCAGCTCAAGGCTAGTGCTCTACCACTTAAGCCACAGCGCCACTTCAACTTTTTTCTGCTTATGTGGTGTTGAGGAATCATGCATGCAAGACAAGCACTCGACCACTGCTCCAACTTCCCAGCCCCTAGAACCAAGAAAGCTGCTTTTTATCCTCCATATATTCCACTATGTAACACTCAGTTGGATGAATATTTGCTTTTTACAAATGCCTGAAATTCAGTCTTAAAAATCCAACTGTTAGCCAGGTGCCAGTGGCTCACACCTGTAATCCTAGCTACTCAGGAGGCTGAGATCTGAGGACCACAGTTCAAAGCCAGCCTGGGCAGGCAAGTCTGTGAGCCTCTTATCTCCAATAAACAACTAGAAAACTGGAAGTGGTGCTGTGGCTCAAGCAGTAGAGCACTCACTTTGAGCTGAAGAGCGCAGGGACAGTGCCCAAGCCCAGAGTCCAAACCCATGACCAACCAAAAAAAAAAAAAAAAAAATCCAACTGATAAAATCTACTCACAGCTGGGCACTGGTGGCTCGCCCCTACAATCCTAGCTAAGCTATTCAGGAGGCTGAGATCTGGAGGATAATGTTTCAACGTAAACCTGAGCAGAAAAGTCCATAATATTGTAGTTCCAAAATAACCAGTAAAAAGTTGGGCTGGAGGTATGGTTCAAGTGGGAAAGTGCCAGTTAAGCAAACAATCATGAGGCCCTGAGTTCAAACCCTGGTACTGCGGTATGTAGGGGGGAGGGGGGAAGAATCAACTCCTGATAGAGGGACATAATAATTTATTATAATTCTAGTTTGAATCAAAATAGTTCCTATTCTGGGTCTACACAGATGATCACATTCTAGCAAAACTGAACTGAGACTGCTCTTACAAAAAGCTCCTAAGCACTCTGGAATCCTAGAAACAAAACTCCTTTCTCTGTAAATCATGATTGTCACTTTAAACCAAGTTGTCAATCCAGAACCAGACTATCTTAAATTCTGAACTCAGGTCATTGAAGATTCCTATAACTTTTCCAAATTGTTATATACTTTTCAGAAATACATCCTATGGGGCTGGGAAGGTGGCTCAGTGGTAGAGCGCTTGCCTTGCATGCATGAGGCCCTGGGTTCAATTCCTCAGCACCACATAAGCAAAAAAGAAAAAAAAAAAAGCTGGAAGTGGTGCTGTGACTCAAGTGGTAGAGTGCTAGCCTTGAGCTGAAGAGCTGAGGGACAGCGCCCAGGCCCAGAGTTCAGGCCCCATGACCGAACCAAAAAAAAAAAAAAAAAAAAAACCCATGAAATTTCAGATTACATTTATAAAAACAAAAAATACCAAATAAACATTAACAAATTAGTCTCCAGTATTATTGAAAGCATTAGCCACTATAATTACTAAAACTGGGAAGGAACTCTCTAGTGACCAAGAAAAAGCAACCAGTTAATCCCAGTTTTAATATCAACATACTACTGAAGCCAAAAAACAAAATATTTCCTATTATCTACAGGGATAAGTGTAGTTTCCACTAGAAATTTACTGAAGCTAACAGCCAATATAAAACTGGATCTGTTCTTATTAACAACCCAGGTTGGGGGCTGGGAATGTGGCTTAGCGATGGAGTGCTTGCCTAGCATGCATGAAGCCATGGGTTTGATTCCTCAATACCACATACAAGCATAAAAAACTGGAAGTTGTGGTGTGGCTCAAGTGGTAGTGCTAGCCTCGTGCAAAAAAGACGCTCAGGGACAGTATTTAAGCCCTAAGTTCAAGCCCCAGGACTGGCAAAGAAAAAAAACACCACCAACAAACAAACAAACAAAAATCAACACAAGTTGTCAAACAGGCTTGAATCTAGGGCATAGAACAGCTCAGGAAAATATGACTATTAACCAGAGAACCTGAAGGGCAGGAACTCAAACTAGTTTTAGTCCTTTCCTCACTGAGCTGGAGTTGTGTCAAACCCTTGAAAGTTTGTTTGCTTATTAAGTGCTGGGAATTGACCTCAGAGTCTTGTGCTTGCTAGTTGAATTTACTTAGAGCTACAACAACCAAAGAAACTAAAGTGGTGATAAGAATTTCCCTCATTTACAACACCAAAATGTAACCAGTATTTCAGAGACAGTCTATGGTGTCAATATATCTATACTGCACTCTATAAAACATACATTAAATTAAAATAACCAAGTTTCTAGGAAAATCATTAAGAATTACCAACAACTATCAATATTAGCTCTAATTCAGTGTCAACACCATCTACAGAAAAGAGAAGAAAATGGCATAGGGAGAAAATTCTTAAAGAAAGCCAAGGTGATGGTTCTTAAATTAGCTTACCTAATAATTTGGCAGTCACCAGTCAAGTTCATTCCCCTCTCACTGTCTCAGTCCTTTCATGTGTAAGTGACATGAGGACAAATAAGATACTGAGTTTTTAGTCTATTCTATCTGGGATTCTAGATCTACCTGTATAATTCATTTCCTCCCCAGCACTGCCTCTATATACTCACATACCCAGACTTCTCAAAAACACCTTGAAAGGTGAAAACAGGCTCTCATCTATATATAAGAGGTATGTAGTCCTCGTATCTGGGTACTCTCAATTGGTTTTGCAGTCCGGGGTTGAAGTGGGAGGTCTGAATACACTCACGTATTTCACACCCCAATCTGAGACTTAAGACTACCTCCACAGGACTGGTGGAAAGACTTATGTGTCCATAATTCAAACAAGCTTTAGTGCAAATTCTGTAACACAGGATAAATGTTTGTAGGCTAAGGAAAAAAAAAAGATTTGTGCCCCATTTACAGTAAATATTCAATACCTATTTGTTGGAAATACTTGAAAACCTTACTAGATTCCTTTTATAACTAATTCTCATCAGAGAGCTTCTCCAGAAAACACTTCTGAAGTACAGCAGGGAAAGGAAACAGCCTAGCAAATGAATAAACCCTTCCCACCCTGTGTGAGGAACACAATGCATGAAATAGAACAAGGCAATGTCTTTAAAGTCAAAAAAATGTGGAGACGGGCCATAAATATCTGGCCAATGTGACAAAGCACACACTTAATCTCCTACAAAAATGACTTGAAGACTGGTTCCGGTAGCTCACGCCTGTAATCCTAGCTACTCCGGAGGCTGGATCTGAGGATCATGGTTCAAAGTCAGTCAGGGCAGGAAAGTCGAGAGACTCTTATCTCCAACTAACCACCAGAAAACCGGAAGTGGTGCTGTGGCTCAAGTTGGTAGAGCGCTAGCCTTGAGCAGAAGAGCTCAGGATGGCGCCCAGCCCCAGAGTTCACGCCCCATGACCGACATTAAAAAAAAAAAAAAAAGACTTGACTTTGCTACAGGCCAAAGCAAACATTAATGTTCCCTCTTCATGTGGGGGCATTCACAGAAGCAATGAGTGTTTTCACAAAAGATTTTTTTTCCCACTGAAGTTTCAACATTTTTATTTAGGTCGATACTAGATAATTTGCAAAACGAGATCAGGGAGCACAGCATCACAACATCTGCCCCCAACAAAAGAAGCAGGGTACATTTAGTATGTTACTTGCTATTACTTCAGTCCAGTAGTCATTTACTAAACTATCCAAAAGAATGCGAAATATAATTCGGTTCCAATGCAGCGTAAGGAAGACATTAAAAGCTCTTCTTAGATTACATCTTCACGGCAGAAGATGAAAATATTGACAAAAATGATATCATAGAGAGTCATGGGTAGCGAGTTTCTTTCAAAAGTTACATAATTAAAGGGATACCGTCAGATAAACATAGTGCAAATAAAATACTGAGATTGCACTTTTCAAACGGTAGGATGGAAACAGTAACCCGCAGCACCTAGTCATTCCTGATGTCCAGCCACGGCGTGAGACACAGCACGCATTTTCCCAGCACGCGGGCGATAACTGAGATTTGCATCTGCAGCCGCAGATCCCCGCACGCCCTCCCCCCTGCCCTGGGACGCGCACAGAGCTCGAGAGCTTTGCAAGCCCCGGGAACTCTCACAGGCCGGCCTGTGTGAGCAAAGGGAAGGAAATGACACAGGCAGGAAAAAAAAAAAAAAAGCAAATCAAGGAAAAGACACAACAGCAGCTGGGCCTGCACCAGGCTCCAGCCCAGGCCCCATACTGAGCTCTCCCTCCCCCGCCCCCGCCCTCGAGTTCCAGGGCCGGCTCTCGCGGGCTGCAGCCGGCGGCCCGGCCAAGCACCGGCACACGGTCCCGCAGCCTCCCCCTCTGGAGACGAACGCCGCGCCGCTCGGAAAGAAGGCTGCCGTGTGGGTTCGGCCTTCAGGTCCGCCCCAACAGCCCGGGGAACCCAAACCCCCCGCCCGGGCCGTGGCGCCCCGACCAAACTGACGGGCTGGCAGCCTGCGGTCCTCAGCCCCGGGCCGGGCGGATGGTCCATGCCTGTCAGGCGGTGGCCCACGGTTCTCCTCCCCTCATCCAGGGGCGGGGCATCGCGAGGCAGCGCGGGCACAGGCCGGGGCGGTGGCGACACTCACCCATGGTGGCGATGGCGGCGGCGGCGGCGGGGACCCAGAAATGTCACCTCCGCAGCCGGAGCTGCATGCCGGGGGCCGGGGCGGCGGGGACGGCGGCGGGCCTGGCTCCGCGCGGGGGCCGCGGGCTGCGCTGGCTGCGCTCGGGGCCCCCGCCGCCTCCCCAGGCTCCGGCTCCGGCTCCGGCCGCAGCCGGACGCTGTGGCATGGGCAGGGTGGCCCGCTACATCCCCGGGACTCCCGGGCTCTCGGCGGCGCCCTTCGGCCCGCCCGCCCGCCAGTCTCTCAGTCTCGAACTTGCTCCGACGGGCCACCGTTCTCCACCTCAGGAACGCTCAGAAAAACAAACCGCTGGTTGCACAGCTCGCCTCCCTGTCTGTCACTCACTGCATCATCCGCGAATTACAGGCCGCCGCTGGACCTTTATCCCGCCCCCACCTCACTTCACCAGCCAATAACCAGGATGATGCCGGCTACCCCTCACCGCCCCCCTCCAAATCCCCTCCAACAGCCTCCCAGCCCCCGACGAACCAATCCCGCCTACTCTCGGAGGTTACCAATAGGCGAATTCGAGGCGGTTTCGGAGGGCTGTCTGGTGTCTGCCAATCATCGAGACAGCGCCCGGTTCCTCAATCTGCTAGCCAATCACAGAGGGCTCTGAGCATCCGCCTGTGCGCATCCCTCGCTGGCGCTCTCAGCCTCTCTCCCCGGGAGGTGTCAGTTCCTCCAATCATAGCTCCCGCTTGAGGCTCCGCCCACATTCCCACCTCCTGTCAGTCACGGTAGGCTCCTGGCGCGCGGGCTGGCGCAGTTCTTCGCGGGCTACTCTGGAGCCGGGGTTAAGTGGAGGCGGCTGTGGAGCCTCTCGGCCCTTGAAGCCCTCTGGTTTCTCGGCGGCCCCTGCATTCTGGGCGGTTCCGGAAGCTGGTGTCTTGTTCCTCTCGGTGCCCAGGGCTGGGCGCGTAATGAGCGGTGACGCTTGCCGGGTGGAGGGCGTCCTCGCCCAACTCCCCTTTCCCTGGGTCTCGAGATCTCTGCCCCAGACAGCGGCTGGGGTAGTTCAGGAATTGTGGAACCCCATATTTTGTGAGTTATGCCAGAGGCGATTTTCGAAAATACTTCTCAGCCAGTCGCTGATGGCCTGTAATCCTAGCTACTCAGGAGATGGGAGATCTGAGGATCCCGGTTCGAAGCCAGCCTGGGTAGAAACATCTGTGCGACTCTTATCTCCAATTAACCACCAAAAAGCTGAAAGTGAAGCTGTGGCTCAAGTGGTAGAGTGCTTGCCTTGAGCACAAAAGCTCAGGGTAAGTGCCCAGGCCCTGAGTTCAAGCCCCAGCACTATCACCAAAAAAAAAAAAGCAACACTAGCTTTATATTTTTGTTTTTCTTAAGTGGAAAGTGTAGAAAAGCATAAAGAAGAAAAATCCCACCACCCTAGAGATTACCTGTGTCCTACCTAGATATGCAACATTTGACAGAAATAGTTTCATATTGTTTCCTGGTGTGCTTACATTTTATTCTATTTTCCATGCCACTAAAGATTGTTCCAAGACAATTGTACTGGCCACAGGAGGTTTCAAAATGGTAAATATATTTGCCCCAACCCCATATTGTTCAACATTCAATATACCCACATCCAATTCCAAGTACACTACATTAATATGGGCTCCCTTGGTCACCAGTTCAGTGAAATACGTCACTCCAGCCAATCTTCAAATGCCAGTTTATTAGTGGCTTCATCTTCAGTATCAAATGCCTTAAGATGTATCTGTGGCTAGTCCTGTATTTCCATATTTACCCCTTAATCAGCCCCTTTGAACTGTTTTCCTCCTACCAGTGTTCATGTCTCATATTCCCACCTGATTAAGTCCCTACCTTTATTGGAGTTCCTGAACTGTAATAGTCTCTTCTAGGTAGCGGAAATAAAGGGGAGTGGAGTACTCACTAATCCTTTGTGACATTTCAGGCATATTATCTCATTTAATCCTTCCAAAATGATATTAGTGGAATTACTCCAATACTAAAAGCATTGAATATAATAATAATATAATAAAATTTTTGTTTTGTTTTGAGTCAGCATCTTGCTAGGTAGGCCAGACTGGCCTCAAACTCCCAATCCACTTTGTCTCAGCCTCATGTGTACTAGGATTACAGACCTGTACCACCATGCAAAGACTTATTATTGGCACTCAGATGATGAAAGTGAAACCCAGAGGTTAACTTCCATTTCCAAAGGTAGAGGAGACAGGTGTGCCTAATTTCCAAAGACTGTGTTCTTGCACTAGGCCATTATCCATTACCTATTCCTGGCCAGAGAATCATTTAATTAATTTAACTAATTTTAATTTAATCTAATAATTTACTTTTTGTGGTGCTGAAGATGGCATACATGGTTTCATCCATGCTGAGCAAGCACTCTACCACTGAGATATTACGCCCCCCCCCATATTTAATCTAAATTACTTAATTAAAGTTAAGTTCTGGCTGGGTACAGAGGTGTAGGCCTTTAATCTTTGCACTTGGAAGGCTGAAAAGGAAGGAAGACTGAGAGTTCCAAACAAGCCTGGGTTTGCTGAGTTTATGGTCGGTCAGTCTGGGCAAGACTCTGTCTCAGAAAAATAAAACAACAAAATTGAAGGCCACATGCCATTTTAGGCGTTTGGTGGTTTTTTTGTGTGTTTTTTCACCCCTTAAGAATTAATTTTGGGGGGCTGGGAAGGTGGCTTAGTGGTAGAGCACTTGCCTTGCATGCATGAAGCCCTGGGTTTGATTCCTTAGCACCATATAAGCAAAAAGAAAAAAGCTGGAAGTGGCGAGTGTGGCTCAAGTGGTAGAGCACTAGCCTTGAGCTGAAGAGCTAAGGGACAGCGCCCAGGCCCAGAGTTCAGGCCCCACGACCGGACCAAAAAAAAAAAAAAAGAATTAATTTGGGGGCTGGGAATGTGGCTTAGTGGTAGCATGCTTGCCTAGCATTCATGAAGCTCTGGGTTTGATTCCTCTTTACCACATAAGAGAGAGAAAAAAAAAAAAACTGGAAATGGAGGTGTGGCTCAAGTGGTAGAATGCTAGCTAGCCTTGAGTAAAAGAAGCTCAGGGCCAGTGCCCAGGCCTTGAGTTCAAGCCCCAGAACTGGCACAAAAAAAATAATAATTTTGCTGGTAGAAAGAGAAGGGGTAACATTGTCCAAAAATAAATATACGCATTACCTGACTTATGAAACAGTAATCCTTCAGTCGATTACTTTTATAATAACAATAAAAATATTTAATAAAAAACAGGACTTACAGCAATTGTTATTAAAATTATTTACATTCTAGTACAGTATTTCAATTGATTTATTTCATGTCATGTTAAATTACAAGTGTGATATTTGATAATAGTATTTTTCTTTCACCAAAAAAACCCTCTACCTATTATTCTTTTACTTCATATTTTTTATTAGCATGAGCTAGTTGCATAAAGGAGGTTATTTATGGCATGTCTATATATTATAATGTACCTTGATCAGACTCACCCACTCTTATCACTCACTACCTTCACTATCTCCCTTCCCAAACCAATCTCAACAACCTTCATCGTTCGCATTTTCACACATGTACATAAAGTATTTTGATGTTGGGCACCAGTGGCTCATGCCTATAATCTTAGCTACTCAGGAGGCTGAGATCTAAGGATCACAGTTCAAAGCCAGCCTGAGCAGAAAAGTATGTGAGACTGTCATCTCCAATAAACTACACAGAAAAGGCCAGAAATGGTGCTGTGGCACACCACTTGGTAGAGCACTAGCCTTGATAGAGGCTCAGGAACAGAGCCTAGACCCTAAGTTCAAACCCTAAGACTGGCAAAAAAAATACAAATTAAATAAGTATTTTAACCATATTCACTGTGTATTGACAATTTCTCCCTTTCCTTTTACTCTCTCTTCTCCTAGTCTAACCACATCCTGGACAGAACATTTTACATTTTTGCTATTCACTTTCTGTATCTAAAGATACATCTCTCAGATTCCCTCTTTTGTAACCAAATAGGAAAGGAATTGACTCTTTTTGGGGAAATATATTAAATGTCTGTTGGTCTAGTTTGAAGATTACAGCTCCAATCCATTATCATTACAGCTAGATATGTGTATGTATGGAAATTTCACAATAAACCCCTCATGTTGTACAATTAATATGCAGTAATAAATAATCATTCAAAAAATTTAAGTAATTAATTTTGTCTCACTGGAGACAATTACCCCATTATGAATGGGTATAATAAACCAATACTAGGGGTCACCATCTGCCAACTTGAGACCTAGATCTCACTCTTATTTTTATTGGCCATAAGATCAATGTTTAAAGTTACACATTTATGCCAATAAAAATTGAGTATGCACTCTATGGCCTGTGTCTGAGGGTATGATTAATAGCTTACTTAGAATTTCTACCACCTGGGGCTGGGAAGGTGGCTCAGCAGTAGAGTGCATGCCTAGCAAGCATGAGGCCCTGGATTCGATTCCTCAGCACCAAATAAACAGAAAAAGCCGGAAGTGGTGCTGTGTCTCCAGTGGTACCGAGCGCTAGCCTTGAGCTGAAGAGCTGAGGGACAGCACCCAGACCCAGAGTTCAGGCCCCATGACCGGCAAAAAAAAAAAAAAAAAAGAATTTCTACCACCTATCTCCAATAGGACATGTCTATCTAAACCTTTTAAAAAAAATTTGTTTTAGGGTGCTGGAATTACAGATATGCACTACAACACCTGCTTTATACAAGAATTCCTAATTCTTCTCCCCTCCCCCCAAACCCTGCTCTCCATTTTCCCAAATACAAATGTTCACAGAAGGCTTTCTCGACTCTTTCTCTAACAAGTATCTAGCCAAACATTCAACCATGTTCTAAAACGATATCAGAATGCATTCAGTGTCACCACAACCATCCTGATCCTTAGATCACCCCTTTTTTTTCTTATTACTGGATTGTCTTAAGTTTCATGTCTGGTTTCCCCATTTCCTCTGGGCAACCCAATAGGTGATTCTCCAACAATGAACAGAGTCATATCATTTTCCTGCTGTGAACCTTCCTATCACACTCAGAGTTAAACCCACCTACAAGGCCCAACAGGAGCTGGCTCCAGCCATCTCTTCTACCTGCCCCTCTATCATTGTCCTCCAGCCACACTGGTTTTGCTTACCATTCTTTGGATTTACCAATCTTTTTTTTAAAATTGTTATTGTAAAGGTGATGTACAGAGGGATTATGCTTATATAACCTACCAAGCCTTTTACTTTTTGCACTGCCATTTGTTCTGCTTGGAACATTCTTCTCTAAGATATTCCCACTTCTGAACTTCAT